TGTGTGTGTGTACAGTATGCAGTAGACGTACACAGTCAGGCAAGACTTCATGTGTATATTGTGTTTTTACATATTCATTTAAAAGCTGCAGTGGTCGGACAAAGCTTCTACAACTATATTTCTTTTTTGTGATATTGCATGCATGTAGAAAGCTAACAGCAGTGTGTGCTCCCTCTCTGTGCTTCTCTAAACCATCAGACTGTTTGCAATAAAAGGTGTTCACTGGAGTGCAGATTAAAGGGCACTTGGGTAAAGGCAGCACAGGCACTTTATTTTATAACAAAAATCTCTTTGCATCTAATGAAAACTTTTTTTACGAGCAAACTAAAGATTGGATGAAGTTTTTCCATTAGGTTTTAAATTCACTGAATCAGAAACATGCAGATAAGATTTGTGTCATCAAATGAAGGATGGCTTCTTGTGTCCTTTTCGTCTGTCCACAACAGCCTCTCTGCGATCAGAGCTGAACCACATCCACGCGTCTGCCATCGAACACCTGAGACAAACCCACCAGCAGGAGTCAGCTGCAGCCAAGGTGGAGCTGGAGAAAACACTGGAGAACAACCGGACACAGGTAGGACATAATAAATGTATGTGGTTTATCGTGGGAGGATCTGGGCATGCTGTCTTAATGTTATAGTGTCTTTATGTCTTAGGTCCATTGCATTTTTAAATATGCTAGGATAGCAGAAAGCTATAGAATGAAGGTTACCCTTTTGCTGTTAGAGGGTAACTAAACACCAGCAGCATCATTTTGTGTTAAAGTTTAATACAGAGCGATGCTGCACTGTGATGAATGACCCTCTAGTCGAATCTCAGTCTTTCCACAAACTCCAGCATGTTTCTCTTTCATTCAGGGCCAGAGTGAAGATTGTGTGATTGGACTAAATCCACACTGTGTAGACACCTTGGGATGCGACTTTCACACTATTAAACACGTTCATCCACAGCCTCTAGGGAAGTTATTACAGTGAGGAAAAATGGAAGAGACAGTGAACGCTCAGACAACATTTGTTCCCAGCGCCAGTAATTTTGGCTTGAAACTGTTAACAGTCGAAAAATTTTAATTGATATCTGATAGCTTTAGTTTTTTAGCCAGAAGTAGTGCTGAAGACAATAATAATTATTATTATTATAATCAGGTGATCATAAAAAAACCTTTTCAATCATGGATTAATCTTTTAAAACATGTCGGCCACTTTAAATTAAATATTTCTGGGTTTACATTTTTTATCAGACAATGAAAAGCAATTTGAAAATATTGTTTTCAGACCATTTTCTGACGTTATAGACTTAACGACTGTTGGGTTAATCAAAAGATTGATCAATCCACACACAGATACAGTAAACAGATACTTACCATACCATACTTGTTGGCATTTTTTTGTTTGCATGTGTGTTTTAGACTTTTTGTGTTGTTTTTGTCTAACTGGCTGTCTCACAGAAGGGATGGGGACAATATTAGGTGATGCCTCAGGCTCCCACACAGACACACACCACCCGGCAGGCTGCCCTCCTACATCCCTTGTAAATCTTACTAATTACTCCAACACCATGGGTTCCTCTCTCATCAGCTGGTGATACAGATGTTCTAGCAGAGATGCACAGCTGGTTGTCTTTAATATCCCCCATGCCTCACTATCAGTCCCTCTCTTCTTCAGTTGCCAAGGTGATAAGGAGTCAATAAAGGCTAATAGTCAAGTGTTAGTCTAAACTTTTTGTCAGTCACCCAGTATATCTGTGACAAATGCTGCGAAACAGAGGTTCAGACGCCGTCCCCTTTATCTTCCTGCAGTGCAAAGGCCTTCATTTAGTCAGATTTTGTCCTAGGCACCCATTCTAGACGTTTATTTGGTATTGAAATGTGTTGAGCTGTACACGAGTATAGAGCTGTCTGCACTGCATATGATAAAATACAACTAGTGGAAAGAAATCCTGATGGAAGTGATTATTTTCTGTGAAACAACATTCATCCCTGTGTTGGTGATTTTGCCTGAGGCTCCATCAGAGACCTCCGGGTGTTCCTCCAGATCCACTGTTAACTGGTCCGGCATTACCTTCATCATCTCAGTGTGGTATTAAAGAGGTCTAGGTTGTGGTGTGGGTTCGCACCATAGAGCGTGAGAGCAGAGAGAGAGCGATGCCACACAAAGAAGGGTTTGAAATGGGAACATTGCTGTTACATCATAGATGGGACAGGTCACGTTTTGGCTGTCCTAATTTGAAAGTACCATTATCCTTCATGTCCCTTTTCCATCTGCTATTATGTGTTCTGTTTGTCTCCCTTTGTGCTTAAAATGTAATAATATAATAAATAATCCAGCAGATTTCATGGCTCGTGCTGCAGCCCAGCAGCCTTTTGGGATAATGAAGTTACACTTGTAAAATATTGAATAAGAAACCAGATGGTCTTACTGTATTCGTTTGCGTTGAATAATTTATTAACGTTAAAGAATCGGTAGACAGAGTTTGTATTTACATTCTTTGTTTACTGTGCTGAAGCCCTGTGGCACATAGAGTGCAACTTCCTGAGTGGAGTCAGCAGACAGTTGTCACGCTGTGTTTAAATCATCTTTTTATACCTTCAATTACATATCAGAGGGGGAGGAAGAGACTGATGAATTAGGGTGTTGTTTGTGTGCGTACACATCGTCATCTGTCTTCCTGGAGATAGTTAAGGTGTTTGATCTAACAGAGCTGTCTGATCAGTTACCTCATCATCATCATCAGTATCTCTTGACATCCTGTATCTATCCTGGTCTATTTCTATTAGATCGCTCCGGTTTTGACGTTGTTTTTACTATTCATGAAAGTTTTTCTTTTCTCTGCTGCAGTGTTCGCTGTAAAATTTGACTTTGAACCAGTAATAATTTATGTACAGTAGCTTGGAGGAGCAGTCATTTTCTTTTATGACTCCTGCACCTCAGTCCAATATTTTGAGAATTCATCTCCTCCTTCTTTTCCTTCACCCCTGTGAGTATGATTGATTAGTCAATCAATAGAAACTTTAACTACTTTGTTTAAGTCTAACATTTGCTGGTACCAGCTTCTGTTTGTGGAGATTTTTTTACCTTGTTCTGCTTGTAAATATGTATCTTTGGGTGTTGCACTCCTGGTCAGACAAAACAGTGAATTGATTATTTGAGGAAACGATTGGCAGACTGAGCGATCCTGAGTGTGTTGCGCTCCAGATGATTGTACGGGTTCTAGAAGTGCATTCGGTATGTGCAGGAAAACCTGATGACAGCAAATAAATCAAAAAATAAATAAAATCACAATATAGAAAGCATCACTTTGACATTGGGACACTAAACATAATCATGGTTCGGGTTCGGTGTGTTTTATAGACAGCCGGTGTAGTACAGAGTGATTACAGACTGGAGTGGATGGACGACACTGAACAGCTAATATCCACCCTTCACTCCTTTTCCAAAACCCAGTCATTTGTGAGTAGATCACACCCTAACTCATTCCAGAGAAAGCCAGCCAGCTAATGCCCTTGCCTATTAAATATTTAAGTGCCTTTATTTGGTTCTTAGGCTTAAAAATGAGAATAGAGAGAGAGACTGGCAACAGAGCAAATCCACTGTGCCCATTTTCACTGTTTCACTGCCTCTGATGTATGGAGGGGAGGAGAGAGGGAGGTTACAGAGGGAAAATAGACCGGGAGAAACAAAACAGCAATGACAGAGCAACAGGGACAAGATGAGAGAGGAGATGGATCTCAGTGACCCAAACCAGGCCCCAGTCGCACAACCGTTCCAGATTTATTTTCAAGCCATCCTGAACTCCCTGAAATGAACCAATGTAGTTACATTGTCTGGTTTCTTTCTTTTATTCCCTCAGCTTTTTTCTCCTTTTCACGCTTGCTTGTTTTTAGCTTTTGTGCCTCCCCTCCTCCAAAAATTAATGCCAGGAGTTTGATGAGAATGAGAGTAAAATGAGTCATAAAAGATTCATCTTTGCTGTCCCCATTGTGCCTAATTGCTCCATCAGGTTTCTGGACAGCAAATATCAGCCAGTTCCATTAGATTTAGATGCCGAGGGAGACTGATAGAGACACACAATGACACAGGAGTTTGGGAATATGGGGCGAGAGGAGAGAAGACTTACCAGCCACTGCTACTACCTGTAGATTTTGCCAGGAAGCTTAAGTGAACAATATGTCAGGAGCGCCTTGAGGGAATTTTTTTCAAATGTGTCCATTTGATTCATTGAAGAATGATTAGGTTTTGTTGGCCAAAGGTCAAGGTCAGTGACCTCACATCTGTCCCATACCCATGAATTTGACTGCTTGGTGGAGGCCAGTAGTAATTCTATCTTAGCTTTGGAAAACTGCTTGTAGAGCCACAAAGGACATTACATAAATATTTTCACAAGCTGATTAGTACTCCTCTTCATGTGTAAAATCAGTAGAGCAGCTCTTTACGAAACAACCAACGAATGCTACAACTACCACGTTATACTCGGTTGTAGAAGTTGTGAGTCACTAATTTAAGTGACATTCCAACAATGGACTCATTATAAAGGCAGGCAGGCTGCATGCTGTCTTCATGTGACTGTTTGATTGCTTCCTCCCACCAAACTGAGAAAATCACTTGTTCATTTTCTCACTTTCAAATCACAATTAGTATGAGCCAGATCTTTCTGTTGTGGAGCTCAGAAGAAAAGAACAACTCTGCGGGGAGTCGTGAGTAATTTGGAAAATTGCTCATTGTTTACCTGAAGATGTTTATGGATTTGGAGACGCCTGATCATTCATGAGCTGAATGAGGGATTCAGACATTTTTCTACAGTGCTGGTTTTTGTCATTTGTGAATTAATCTCATCTATAAACAAAGCAGCTGATGTGAGCTGAGCTGGTTCTCTTTTGCTGCACAGGGCACATTTTAGCAGGTTGCTTTGCATTAGCTACCAACGCTGCAGCACTTTCTCTTTACCAGCAGAAGTGCCACTGTCCTTTTACAGATTAAAAGCTTTATGACATGGGTCTCAAGCCTTTTTTTTCCTCAGAGAGCTACCTTGACAGAATGGAAGTGGCTGAGAGCTTCTCTCTTTAACAGCTAACGCTATGGGACCTCAGCTCTTCAGGCCACGACTATGTCTTATGATAATGAATGCACTTTTTCATAACCTCTTTCTAGGAGCGCGAACTATTGGGCCGCATCACGGAGCTGCAGGAGGAGGTGTCCAGGAGGAAAAACCACATCGCTCAGCTGGACCACCAGATCCACACTCTCAACGAGAACATCAGCACTCTGACTAAAGAGCTGGAGCTCAAGGGCAAGGAGGTGCTTAAGATCCGCAGTGAAGCCAATCAGCAGATCAGGTACGACTCGGGGTTCAGGCAAGATCCCAAACACAGTGTAAAATATAATGTGTGTTCAGCTTTGGTTCACAAAAGAGTATGATAAACAAAGTAGGTGGTGTGTGTACAGTGAGACAGTGCAGGTTAGTGACTTCTACAACTTAGACACTTTTGGGTCCAGTTGTCCAAGCAAAATAGTGGCGTTTTCCATTTACACTGTGTGAAAATCTTTACCTGGAATGTAATTTGTGATTGCAGGTGATGCCACCTGGTACACCTGTTGGTGATAAGGAGACAGTTTATGCTGTAAATGGGTCTCCTTGTGAAATCTGTCCCACATGGTTATTTAGAGCAAACTAACCAGACTCCTGGTTTAATTTTCGTTTTGCTTAAGTTACTGTAGACAAAAGCACAGCTTGATCTGAATGAGCTTGCCAGTGTGGTGCATTCACATGCTGTCATGCCAATTAGAAAAGAGACTTCTTACTCTCTTCATAGCCTTTTAAAAACCAGTCGCTGCAATGGTGACATTGTTCTCTTCATCTTTCCTCTGCGCTCGCCTCCTTTCTGTATGTCAGATTTCGTTTCTGTCCGAGATATTCCCGGTCACACAGCTGGACTCGGCATGCTGGTCTCACACACAGGGATCCAAAGCCAGAGCTTGTAAAGCATACACCAGCTCGTTCACAATGCGGTTTAGTCTAATACTCTGTAACCTGGCAACCACGCTGCTGGATATCTTTCTCATGAGTCCAGAGTGGTGATTCTGGTGTTCCTGTTTTTTTCTCTTTTTGGCAGTAAGTAGTTATGGCTGATGGTGCTTTTATGATCTGACACACCAGTGCCCACGCTCCTCTGCGCTCTCTGTGGACTCTGCCATCGCTCTACATTAATTCACTGATATTATCCAGATGATGATAGCTCCTGCAATCCCACACTGCTTGAGTCCTGATGAAAATACACAAAGATGAAAGAGTGAAAGAAAAACCCAGTCAGAAGCCCCACTGATCAGGAGACGTGAAGGTTATTTGGGGTAAAAGTAAAACGGATTCTATAATCATGTTGTTCCCTGCGGCGAGTTATGAATTTTTTAATTGTTGTATGGTTGATGTAGTCCAGCTACACATTCAAATGAGTAATCAATAGGTAACCATTAATTTATGTGTGTGTGTTTGACAGTTTTGCTATATGTGTGCATGTTTGATGGCTGCTTTAGACTTTGTGCTTTATTCTGTACCATGTACTCATGTGCTACTTCTCTTGTGTATGTATGCATCCTCTTTCTATCTGCTGACAGGCTCATGCACAGCACAGTTTTTCTTCTGTTACGTAACTCTCCGTCACAGGGATAAAAATAGGTTCATAAATAAATAAAAAGGAAGCAGAGAGAGATAAGATGTGCACCCCTCAGGGAGAGCTGGCCCAGTCAGAGTGAGAGGCAGACACACATCCATGTTTCTCCTCCATCCCTTTCTCTCTCTCGCTCCTTGTTTCATCAGCCTTTTTCTCCACCTCCTTTAATTATTATCATCTTTGATGCCCATTTTCCATCCTCCTCCTCTTTTTCCACTCATTTTCTCCTGTGGCAAAACCATCCACAGTGCTAACATATTAATATATAACATCCATCCATCTATTTTCTATACCGCTTAGTCCTAAATATATAACATGAAAAGTTTATTTCATCTATACACTTTTCTTCTTATGTTTTGCATTATATATACATTAAGTATACTGCACATGCCATATTTTACACGTCACATGACATAATGTGAGTTATCAGGTTATAATACAGATCTAACACATGCCATCCAAGGTGATCAAATGTTAACAAATTTGTTGAGGATTTTGTACAGCGACACAACATACGTATCAAAGAGCCCTGATAATAGCTAAGTAGGGCTAAAGAAAGCCTGTAAAGAAATCCTCAGTGGTGGAAAGCAGCAAAGCGCTTTTACTCTAGTGCTGTATATGAGGTGTCCTGTAGAGTTTTCTTGCAAACAAACAAAACAAACTCAGTTGTAAAGACATTTCACACAGTGCAACTGAACTCCGTGTGACGCTTAGTGTTTCCATTTCCAGGAAACTATGATACGATATAGAGCAAATTGTCTCATTGGGAAGATGCAGCTAAGTAGAAGTACTGTTGCTATGGTTACTTGGTTTTTAACAACATTGCTGATTGAATACACTGAAGTTAAACTAGTTAAACAGAACCATGGTTGAAGTGTTTAGTTAGGATGTTAACTAATACCCACCGGCCAGAAACAAGTATTTTCTGTAGCCACTCTGTGTCTTGATTCTTCTCTTCTGTCTTATCAGGGCTCACGAACAAGAGCTAACAAAGCGGCACGAGAGAGAGCTCGCCGAGCTGAGCGCTGTCCACAGCAGAGAGACGCAGAACATGCTGTCAGACTTCAACAAGGCCCAGGAAGTGCTCAAAGACAAGATCTCTGCCCTTCAGATACTGTATGTACACACTGCCGTTACACTGTGCGCATTTACCTGATTCTTAACCTGTGATTGACAATGTGTGTTGTCAGGTGCCAAATGGAAGCATAAAGCACCAGACATGGTTTCTCTGGGGAAGGTAACAGCCGAGGCTTTCACACCAGTGTAAACACTGCTGGTTTTTCTGCTCTCCCCTACAGATGGACCCCTTTTTAGCCACATCTTGTACACTTGTTCATCTCCTCTCCATTACTGACTAGGATGATCAAATATAGGAAAAAAAAAACAAGTTAAAATGATGCTTTTCCTTTTTGCCCATTCATTGACTGACACAATTGCTGCACCCAAAAAAACTGGAGCATATCTAGACATCATAGTCATAGTCATGTTTATATTTGTCAGGAGGAGTATCAGTAATAGGGAGCTGTGAGGATTTTTTCTTCTCCTCAGCTCTTCTCCTTGTGTAATAGTCGATAAACAACTGCACCACGCAGGCTGGTGCATGATGAAACATCGCTCGCCATGAAAGGCTGCACCAA